AATACTTATAAAAATAATTTGAGGATTTTAAAAACTCAAATTTCTGAAATCATAGATCTGAAGAGCAATAGCTTATTTGGTGTTAGTAAAATTATCTTCCAAAATCATTGTTTTGAGATTAAGTTACAAGGTACCATATCTCTGTAAGTATTCAAGCAAAAGACATTTAATTATTGAATGACTTATCAAACGTGGTTCCAAGGAAGTGTTAAATGCCAAATAATTAGAAGATATAAGGTAGTAAGAAGAAACCTAAAAAGTGATTTTTAAAAAATACATCAATAGCCATATAATTACATTGCTTTTGTTGAAATTCTTTATAAGTGGTGAATTTATGAAATTGCGTTTCCTAAAGTGGGTGCTATTTTAAAGAAATAAATTTGTTTATTTTTAAAATGGTATTTTAAAAGAATATATTTTTGTAGATGGTACATATTAATATAATTATGAATAAACTGAGAGCCATATTAAATGCTTTCATGACTAAGCAAGCTATAAATTAACACATTAGATTTATGTTGAACTAACAGAAGTATTCAATATCAATTGCATATGAAAATAACTATGCAAATATAGAAATATTCTATTTGTAGGGCAGGAATATATATATTCAAGTCTCACTTTTCAGTTAACCAAAAAGTCTTATAAACCAAAACATGCTAATGATTTGTGAGTGTTTTCGGAATGTGAATTCATATAATCTATCCCACAGAACTAAATTTCATAGTAAAAGAGAGATGAGTTCATTATAAATTGCTCTCGGAACAAGGTTTTGTTGTGTCTATGCTTCATAAATATAAACTGACTTTTTTTAAATTAAGAGCTGATTTAATAATATAATCTGTGTCTGCAGAACATTGTAACCCACCTTGTCAACATGGTGGCACATGCTTGGCTGGCAATCTCTGTACTTGTCCTTATGGTTTTGTTGGACCAAGGTGTGAAACAAGTAAGCAAAATTTTCCCACAGTCTGACATAATGAAATTGCTCCCTTGAATAGTTGATGGCTTTGATGCTGTATGCGAAGAACCCAAACCCTAAGTAAAGAACACACATTCATGATTTATGATAATGGTACCATCTTGCATAGCACTGGGAGCAGCCAGAGTGGCCAGTACTAACATAAAGAAGTTTGTTCCCTGAAGTAACTACTCCCTTGACTCTATCCATGAACTTTCTTTGAGATACAAGGAATTCAAATTTGTTAAATTGCATATAAATTGCTCATTTATGTCTATGATTTCTTTTATCAGTAACTAATAATTTTCCTAAATAGCCAAACCTTGTTTACCATTCAGCTCAATGGTTTTCTGCTTTCCCTATTTCTATTAGCCAACAAATAATTGAATGTGATCAAGGAACATTTAAAGCCAAAGTATAAATTATGTTTTATCTTTCTCTCTGATGTTAATCATTAGCAGATGTGATTGGCAGTTATGAGCTAGCTAAGTAATAGCGAACAATATGACCATTCCAGCCTAATTTACTTTTCTTTTATGTTTATCCTACAATAGTGGTTTGTAACAGGCACTGTGAAAATGGAGGTGCATGTCTTACACCTGATGTTTGCCAGTGCAAGCCTGGCTGGTATGGACCCACCTGTGGTACAGGTAAAATCAGAAATATTTTCAATGAACATGTCAATTAAAGGAAATTTAAAATGTGCCAGTGTCTTGAACACTTGCACCTAAGAAACATAAAACTGATGAAACAAGACAGGTAAGAAGTTATTATTTTAGACAGACTTAAAACTCATCTTCATTCTTTTTCTTTTTATATTGGACCATACAGTATCTTAGAGCCTTACTGTTATCCTATCCTATACTTTTTTTGTGTGTGGCCTTTATGTTTTCCTCATCCATCTATCTTATGGTGGAGAGAAAAATATCTGTGTTGTATCTTTTAGGTTTAGTTTTAAGTTTTTGATCACAACACAGAGAGACATTCTATTTCGTTAAACATCTAAGCAGTTCTGAGTCAAGTGGACACCCATCATGTTATTCCAGTAATTGATCACAGTATCAGGCTTGCTTCTTTGGCAGCAATGTTTGCA